ATGTTACCTCCACGAAAACCAAAAAAAAAAAACAAAAAAACCTAAAAGGACAATGGGAGGCGGGCCAAGGCCCCTCAGAGATGCCTTTATTCTCTTTCTCCATTCGAGACATCATCACATCCTAGCAGTCAAATTTCACTGGTTACAAGAGAGAAGTGAGGGCAGTTGGAGAGTGAGGGCCAAGAAGAATGGGATGGCTGGAAGCTGTTGATAGCTGGGGAGGAAGGCTGCATGGGAACTGAAGAAGCAGTGGTGTCACAGCTCCGATCACATGAGCTCCCTAATACAACTCTCCATGCATGGAGACATTAGAACTTCTAGTGAGAGAAACTGCTAGAATCCAAATATTTTCACCCAACGAAGCCTCAGCAAAGGCCAATCTTTACACACAAACCAGCCTGGTTCTTCTGACAGACTTGATCAGAAATCAATACTTTGAAGGGTGGAGAAGTTTGTGTCTTAAAGCCTTTTTGGAATCCCACTAATGTGGAATTCTTGGACTGGCCTCAGCTAGCTGCCAGTGTGAAGATACACAGCCAGTGCTCCACATCCGTGGGTTCTGCATGTGTAGATTCAACCAACTAGGAATCAAAATTACTTGAAAAAAAAATTCCAGGAAGTTCCAAAAAGCAACACTTGAATTTGCCATGCTCCAGCAAATATTTAGGGAACACTTACATTGTGTTTACAACTCTTAACATTTACTTTATATTACGTATAGAGATGATTTAAAAGTATACTGGAGGGTGTGCATAGGTTATATGCAAATACTGTGCCATTTTATATACGGGACTTGGGCATCCACGGATTCTAATATCTGCTGGGGTCCTGAAACCAATTCCCCAGAATACTGAGGGACTGTAACTAATTAGTTCATTGAGGACAAACCAATTCAAACCCCTTCTCTAAAAGTCTTAACAATGCACATGCTAATACAATGAATTCTATGTTATCTTCTCATTGAAATCAATCCTGAAGGAAGAACCTCTGCCAGCCCACTCTTAGTTACTGTTGGAATTTGAAAAAAAGTAAATGCCTTTCCTTAAAAATTTCTATAAATCCGTCAGCCTTACCTATTTTAAGTGTCTTTGCCCACATTTGTCCAAATAAGTGAGACTTTACCATTTTTGGCTTTTTTCTCTGCAGAGTGAGTTTTAGACTTCTGCTGGAGGGACCATTTCTGTTTGAGCCCAGCCTACTCCAACATTTTGGGTGAACCTGAGTCCAGGAAACCCAGCAATAATCCTAAGGTTTCATTTTCTTTCCTGTGGAAATGAGAAGCCGCATACTCACTTTGAAACTCACTGTCTAGATACCTGTTCTTCGTTTCTAATTTTCTCCTCCATATCCTTTTTTTCTTTCTGGTCTTTAGGTAAAATTATTTCTATTTGATACATCTTTTCCCCACTCTGGTCCTTAATGGGTCAGCGAGCCTTATGTGGCCTCATTGCCCTGACAGAAGGCAGTATTGTGATCCTGGGTCTTTCTGTTTAGCTAGCTCTCCTCACTGGATCTTTTTATACGGCTCCTACAAAGTTCTAAGGAGCATGGTGGTTCCTTACTCCTTATTCTTTAAATAGAAGACACCAATAATAAGAAACCATATTTTCAAAAATGATGCAAGGAAAAGCCAATAAATACCTCAAATGTTCTATTAAAGCCATGATTCTCAACCAGAGCTAGTGTTAACCCCGACGCCTAGACATCAGGCAATGCCTAGAGACGTCTCCGGTTGTCCCACTTGGGAAAAGGGGTGCTGCTGGCATCTAGTAGGTGGAGGCCAGAGGACTCTGCTACACACCCTTTAATGCATAGGCAGTTCCAGCAACAAAGAATCACCTGGGCCCAAACTTAACAAGAGCCAAGGTTGAAAAATCTGTGTTAAAAGTATTCTTGCTCTTTTTTTCCTTTTTCCTCAAGACATGTGATTTTAAAAGAGAGAAAATGCTCCATTTTGATAAGAGTGTCTTCAGTTCTTACATCCCACAGTGATCCAGGAATTGAAGAGCACAAGGGTACCTCTGAGCAAGGCAAAGTACAAGGTCGAGACAGGTCTTCTCGGCTCTGATAGCTGTCTCAGCTCCAAGGAGATACAACTTTGACCAAAGCAGAGGACGAAGCAGTTACAAGGATGTTTAGTTTGTGATAAAAATCATTTTGCAGATTAAAGTGCTTCCTTCTGTCCATAAAATGGTATATTCTTTAAATAACTCAAAAATAGGAGGCATTTAACTGTGTTGTGAGCAGGGAGCAGAGCTGCTGCTCACAGCCGTGGTCAATTAATTCCATCCTTGTAATCAAGCCTATACAAGCTGCAGGTGGTAGCGCTCTTCGTTTGTTCTCCAGTGTGCTATTGAATTACCCCATGTTCTAAATGCCCCTACTGTCAGTATGAAGGGATTTAGGGAGTTTCCTGGAACCAGTTTATCTCTCTATATCTCTTGGCACCATTATCCCTCACTCCTGTGGTGGTAGCAAGAGGTCTGCTCAGCTCCCAGATTGTACCTCCTCTTACAGGAAAGTCCAGTTGGAAAGAGTGAGACTCTTTCCCAAGATTCTCAGTGTGTCTCATTGGCTTTGACTGGGTCATGTGCTCACTCCTGAGCCAATGGTGTGGCTAGGGGAGTGCTAAAAGCTGATTGGCTGAGGAGTAGGTTACAGCACAGCCCTGAGTTGGAATGGAGCCTGGCGTCCTGCACAGGAGCTGAAAATCGGGCGGATGTCTTACCTCAAAGGGAAATTGGGGTAAGTTCCCATGAAATGAGCAGAATGGATGCCTAGGAGAGTAAACCTGTGTGTGTGCATGCATGGGCACACACGCTACTTGTTACTAACAGGCTTTGGATTCGGTTGTGGAAGACTCAGCTTTTTGCCCTGGCTTTGGCATTAACAAGTGTAACTTGAGATAACGTCGTAACTCTCCCAGCTACCTTTCTTTCCTCTGAAGCATGGATGTAATAATACTATTAGGGTGGTTATGAAAAATCAAACAAGTATCTTGGGATATTGGAAGGATTGTGCAAACAAGCGGTGGGGGTGGGGTTGTTAGATGCAATGAATCTAGAGTCCCGAAGAATCTAGACCAGCTGTAATTCATCCAGCTGGTCCATGCTGGCCTTCGGAAGCCAGGGTCTAAATTTATCCCAATCCTCATTGTTGCAGGTCACTGTAGGAAATCTTCTGAGGTCAATGATTGAGGTAATTGACTTGCTGTGGATCTTGAAAAAGTCTCTCTGTTAAATGACATAATTGGTTTTAATTATATAATTATGGCACTTAAAGTGTGGGGGTGAAAGGTTACTATTATATTTAGAAGTGAGACCCCCAAATGAAGCAAGGGTGTGTACATCGGTGTTGCTTCAAATTTCTCTTCTTACTTTTTCAGAGGGAAATCAGAGTAGGCTGGCCTTGGCCCTCGCCATTTTGGGATGATTATCTTGAATGAGGTAGTGCTGGGGCTGCTCATGGCATCATAGGAACCTTTGTAAAGAGAGGGGAAAGGGCTTCTGTAAAGACCTCATTGTGATCTGAAGCTAACGAGCAGTGGGAACTCAACTGTCAGCAATTGAATCTGATTGGGCAGGGTAATTATATGATTGCCTCTGGTGTTTGCACATGCACTGGGATATTTTTATTGGACAAAACCTAATTGCTTACTTACTTAGTGGAGGGAAAACCTAAACAAATTTGTGTTGTCATAGGTTAAAAAGACATCCTTTCTTTGTCTCTAAAATAGCTGCCTGCTCTGCTTTTCAGAAGTGAGGGTTTTGTTTCTGTCTTCAATCAAGGATGTTGTTTGCAGGCCTTGAATTATATGATAATATGGACATATAAAAGAAAGCTACTTTGGACTGTAAGTTTTGGTGAAATGACCATGTGCTTATTGCCATGTCTTAAACCATCCCCTACAGTGGTCTCTTTCATAATGCAAAGGCTGCAAGAACCCTGGGCAACATTCAAGCTGCTGGAACTTTCACAGAGTTTTTTGTTTTGTTTTCCTGCGTGGAGGACTCTGCAGGATTGTCTTCATAAACTATCTGGTTTTCCTTAGCTGCATAAAGCAAGTGGGAGGTATCATGTCTGTGGTTGTCTTTCAGACATCAGAAACGGCAAGGGTAAGAGGAGCGAAGCACCCACTCAGTGATTTTCTGGGGTCTTGGAGGCAAGGAAGGGCAAAGTGAGAGAGCCAAAGGGAAGAAGCCTGGGGCTCCCACTTTGGGATTGCCAAGTCATACTCAGACACCTTGTCGTTGAGCATGGTGCCTCTCTTACCTGTAATGCTGGTGTACAGAAAACAAATTGTTGCAGTTGGGTCTATTAGCAGTTCAACTCTGCATTATTGTTTTTCTTTTTTCCTGTCTTCTTATAGAACAAACTATTTTCTAAGTTCCTTCCTTTTCTGAGATCCTACTGGAAAAGCTCAAAACACACCTGGACAGTAGGGATTGGAGGAACACTTGTGATGAGAGCTGCAGACTCCAGATCACGTGCCCTGGTTGTGTGTAGGATTATAGGCTGGAGAATAGCTGAGAACAATGGGCATTCAGCCCCTCAGACCAGCCATGCTTTCTCATCACAGGATCTGGCACATGCTGACACACCCAGTCTTGTCTGGCTGACTCCATGGGTCCTCTAGGCTCAGCATTAAATGGCACTTCTTCTGAGAAGCCTTCCCTCACCACCCACCTCCAGTCTGGGTTGGCTGCCTTTGCTTTGTGCTCCATGAGCACCCTCTAGGTCCTTTACCCACTGTCCTTTAACTGCTTGTCTCACTGTCCTGAATAGCCCATAAACTCCATGAGGGCAGGGCTTATGTTTATATTTGTCACTACTTTATGCCCAGAGCCCAACACAGTGCCTGATGAGTGTGTTCAGAATGACTGAATGAGGAAAGGAACGGCTGCTGGGTGTCCTAGGGAATCGTGGTGTGTGCTGCCTGGGCTTCCCTACTCTTGCTGTTAATACCACTTTCTTGTTGCTTATAATTTTCATTGCCCCAGATGATCCAGCTCTGTCGGAGGCATGGAGGCACAGTCAAATCTCATGCTGTACATTGATCACCTGTCCAACCTTTGCCTAGAGTGGGAGCCCCCAGTTCCTTCAAGAGATCCAACTTTACCTGTCTGTAAAGAAGAAGAGGAGGAGGGAGACAGCAGGGAGGATCCGGTGGCAGTTTAACACCAGAGCAGGTCCAATGTTTACTTTTACCCTTTTGGAGGTGGGTAACCGCAAATGCCACGGGGAGTTGGGTTTCAGAGATGCTGCGTAATGATCTTGAATTTGTGGGCACATGTGTACTTTGTTTTCCTAGAGTGTAGGGGTTGCTATTTTTGTATTTAATTCATAGCCAGACTGTTCTGTGATTTCCACCAGCATAGAAAAAGAATCCAGGTTCATTATTCATATGATATAAATTGTCATGGGCCTCATGTTGTTTGTGTCTTGCTACGTGGACAGAGAGTATAGTTCTTTCATTGGTTCCCGTTTCGTGACTATTACATTTATCATTTGCTTTCCAAGGCCTGTGATTTTCAACAGTCTGTCTTGTTTTGAAACTCTGGCTTTTGATGTTTTGAATCCCTCCCTCCTTGGTCAGTCTCGTAGATCATGAGATCCTCAATAACTACTGAATAGATGAGATTTCATTTAGAACCACTGGTCAGTGTTTAAGACTAGCCCTACACAATCTTCGGGTAGGTCTTGGCAGCTTTTTCCCTAAGCAGAAAGTAAATCTATGGCCTTGTAGGCCTCAGGCAAAAGGGAACCCCCGCAAAACCCCAGCGGCCTCTAAGTTTGTACTGGCTGGGCAGATGGATGTATGCATGTAGAAACCGCCGTGTCACATGAATAGGGCCAGAGTAAACCCTTAGAGACCCTGGGTGCCTCTCCCTTCTTGCATTGTGATCTGTGCCAGCTCTCCTAGGTCAGAAGCATATTATCCCTCTGTTAGTTCTGAGTATTTATTTACTTTGCATTCTTCAGTTGCACATCTGCTTTATCATAATAAGCACCTAAATTGGAAACTTCAGGGGTTCCTTCAAGAAAGAGGTTTGAACAACCTTTTCTTATAGTAGATATGTTCACCAATGCTGTGTGCTCTGAACCAAACAGAGATGGGCCATCGTGAGCTTTATTACTGAACCTAAGGAGAGTTTAATTTTCGGTTTTGGAATAGCACCAACGGATGCCTCACCACTTCATATCCTTTCTGGATTGAGGCAGGTAATTACTGCCTACACAAGTAAATCACATACTTCTGCAAAAAAAAAAAATTTGACATTTGATTTATAATTAAACTTGGCGATGCGATCTCTGAAGTGTCTCATCCTGTTTGATCACAATGGTCTGTTTCCTTTGCAAGCACTTCAGTGTGTAGGGGTAGTCCTCTTGCTATCATCACATAATATGGCGAAGGAAATAATTTAAGAAAAAGAAAAAAGAAAAATTAGGGTAAATGATTGCTATTTTAGGTCAAACTCGAACTGCTGATTGTTTATTTGTTTTGTTTGAAAAACATTTTTATGTCCCTTCGTTGACTGATACATTCAGCAAATAGATATAAACACTGGCTCTCTAAGCGCCCTCCCTGGGCCAGCAAGCTGCTTCCCAGCATTACCTGGGAACTCGTTGGAAATGCAGAGTCTCAGGCCCCACCCAGACCTTCTGGATTAGAGACTCTGCAGGTGGGGTCCAGCACACTGGGTAGGAATGAGCTGCCAGTGATTCTGCTGCACACAGAAGTTTGAAAGCTCTTGGTTTAAAGCTTCTGTGAGTGCACTAGGCAATAATAGGAGTTCAGCTCTAGCCCTGTCATCTAGGAGCTTGTGATCCAACCATGGGCAAGAGGCATAAATTCATCAGACAGTTAAGCAGCCTGATCTTTATAAATGTAAATTACATCATACACCCACTTCCTAAGTCCCTCCAGGCAGTTCCCTTTGTACTTGAAATAAATATAAATGCTTGGCTAAGGCCTACAAGGCCCGGCATGCTCCCTCCCCTGCCGACCTGCCCAGTTCATCTGGTGCTCTTCCCTCCATACCCCTGTGCTCTGCCACACCTCACTGGCCTTCTTTCTGATCCTCAAACATGCCCACTGAGTGAGGTGTCAGCAGGGACACAGAGGAAAGGGAAGGAAGACAAAATTGCAAAGGTTAAAAGATAGGCTTGGTCACTAAACTATTTTTAATGGTACAATATTTCTAAACCACCACGAATGCCCCATTGGTTAATATGTTAATGTGTTTATACTTAGATATATTGATTCAATAATGTGTTAATGTGATATAAATATTAGTGGCTCCATCCTGTAGCAGAGCAAAGTCTGAAAGGACTCTATGAATCATGAAGGAAATATGCGGTGTAGTTTAGTTTAACCTTAACTTTCATACATTTGGATCGATTTCTCTTTCTGAGAGTTGGCCAAGCAGGCACAGTGCTCAGTTACACACCACATACCGGAAACTGGAGGTACAGGATGCTGAGTGTGAAATCATCTGTGTGGCACCGGGCATTGATGGAGCCAATGCATGATTCTTGCTGTCTTCACTTAGTTTTAGGAAAGATAGTGACCATGTTAGTTAGATTTTTGTCTTTGTAAAAAAAAACTATCTTTAAGTGACAGTTTTGATCTTTGGAATATTAAATGGACCATATGATTTGGGAACAAAGTAGCTGTTTGGATTTTTATTGAAGGTAAAAAAAACTGGTATCTCAGGATTCTCTCCATAAAGGAAAGAGGAAACACATTTTAAGTATGATTTCTCGGGAAAAAACTCAAAACTTAAATTTGAGGAAAATCTTCTTTAAAGATTTAGGACTGCTAGAGCTAAGAACAGGGGCAATGATTTTTTGATTTGTCTTTTTTGTCTTGTTTGTTTTGATTCTCCACATCTTTGACAGTAACTGATTGTCTAATTTGTTAAGTGTAGCATCTCTGGTTTGGGGCATTATTTGCTTTGTGGGGAGCACATCATTTAAGATCTTCAGCAGGGAAGGGAAAGGCCGGTGGTGGGAGAACCATCAAAGGGAATGGGTGTGGAGGTGTGCTCGGGCCTGGCAGCCTTTCAGCTTCACCTTGCCTTATAAAGTGTAAAGTTCTCCCAGGAAATGGAGACAAGTCTCCTCATGGTGTCAGCAAGCTCCTTGCCTGGCCAGGAAGCCCTTCCGGCTGGAAGGCAAAGCTAGTGTGCTCCTGGTGGCTGGGGATGCTCAGCAAATGCCCTGACCCTACTCTCAGGGAGCCTACGGCCGTGAGGCCTGGAGACTTCAGCAGTTCTCTACGCGAATAAAGGTGCATTTTCACACTTTGAAAAGTGCTTCAAAGGTTGAGAGAGCTATGAGGGCAGAGAGTAGAGAAGCAGGTTTCCTTTCCTCTTTGGACACGGGGTTGAAGCTAAGAATTGAAGGATGACCAGGTATGCATTCAGGTGTGTGCTGAGGTTGGTGGCACAGTGGGGGTGAAGAGTGTCCCCTGGGAGCTGGCACCACCTCCCATATTAGCTGGAACTCTGCCTAGAGAGGCTGCCATAGCAGAGAATCTTTTGAGCAACCACATGGGTGAAAACACCCAGAGCATCGCTGCAGAGTGAACCCCAGGGGAGGGTCTGTTTCCCCAGAGAGACTGAGATTTCACAGGGTCCACTAACAGTACCAGTGCCACTGTGCCCAAGCCTGAGGCCAGCACCTTGGTGTTCACTTCTCTTCCTTTTGTTGGTCCCTCTGACTCCTTCTGTGCCTCTCTGATATCCTTTCTTTCCAGGGTGGCCTCTGCCGGTCCCCTCCTTGAATGCAAAGCTGCCTGCGGGGAATGTTTCTCATATCCTGGAAGATTCTTACCTGGCTTTTAGGGAGGCATTTTAAGCATCTTTCAATAATCTTACTGATTGTGGCCAATAGCTCTTAGGAGTGAGGAACTGTCTTCACCCACTGCCTTCTTGACTTTTGGTCATCACTACACATGTCCCATCTGTCCTAGCCAGGACATACTTTGAGAGCAGGTTCTCTGGTTTTGTTTGGTGCTTGACAAGCTAACTTTGCACAGATCTGATACTCAGAAATAGTTGACAAATGAAAGAAGAGGTTGTGCAAATCCAAATCCCCTTGCAAAGCTGGGATTTGATCTCAGGAGTGTGAAATAAAATTGATACCTGATTCATTCATTTCTCCATCCACCCATCCAAAAACAGTTATTAAGGACTTCCTGTTTAACCATGCAGCTGAAACACAATGCGCAGCACATGGTATGTTCACAATAGATGCTGGCTGTTATAGAAGAAATGCAAAACTAACTCTGGCTTCTGAATCCCTTTCTGTTCTTGTCCCACTGAGTTTTGTGGAAGCCCCAGCTGTTCATCCTTCTCCTGTCATTTAGGACTGACA